GTGACTTAGCTCTTTCTGTGATATTCTGTATGGTAACCACTACCCATATGTAGCCATTTAATTTTAAATTAACCAAAATATTAAATACAATTTAAAATTCAGTATGTTTTAGTGACACTAATCACCTTTCAAGTACTCAATACTCACAGATAACAAAGGGAATATCCATTACTGCAAAAAGTTTTGTTGTACAGCACTGGTAACTGGTAATTGGTTTTGTTTTGTTTTAGTTAATTTCCGAAGAATAATAATGAAGATGAAAGGTAGAGAGGGGGACATTAAGTGCTATGTGTTTTTCTTTTTTGCACCATGGCATATAGAATATTCTAGTATTTTAGGACTATTTAAAAAATAGGAGATTTTGGTTATGTTCATTAGTTTTAGGTGACAAAAATCTTTGATTCAGTTTACAATTAAGAATAGTTCATATTTAGTGAATTTCATAATTTTTTTTGGTGATTTGACATTTTTAATGCTGGCTACCTTGTTTCTAAGAGGTATGCTAGGTGCTATAAATGTAGGTTTTTATAAGTATCTTAAAAGATACACATTACATACTGGTACTAGATTCCTTCCAGTTTCTGGATCACTACAACGAGTCCTATAGGTAAGATCCTTTTCCTCATAGCACTTATATTCTGATGGGTTCTTTGATATCAGAATGCTTCTTAGAGTGATGATTCTATTTAAAATTCCTGTTACATATGGAAACCAACTTGACAATAAACTATTTTAAAAAAATAAAATTCCTATTACAGTCTCGTAACAATGATGTAACTGAGGAACATGAAATAATACTAATCTGATCATGTGAAATATTAAGTTCAAAGTACCAATGGTATTAAATTTCCTTCTTCCAAAATGACTAATATTCTTTGAAAGTTTAATTCTGTGAGGCACAGCACACATGCAACAGTAACCAGGAATGTATAAATGAAAAAGATGTCAGAAATGATTAAAAGCTATTACTTGGGAAACAGTTTGATATTTCTTTAGCTTTTGCATCAGCCCAGCTTTGGGTTTCTTAGAATAACTTAGTCATTCTAACAGAGTGAAAGAGAAATGTAGGTTTTTATCTTTAAAATGTGCTCAGGAAGGAAGGTAGAGACCCTGGAGCTTAAATAAAACAACAATATGGTTTCATAATTTATCAAACTTGTAAGACTTTAAACTACTGCACATCTAAAACTTGATGAGGATTATACACTGTTGACTGTGTTCTTAAGTATAATTTCACCTGGAGGGAGCTTCAAAAGGCCTGTGTGCATTGTGTAATCCCTGTTTTCTCCTCAGGATGCCCCTGCTGCTGCTCGACAGCAGTTCTACACTGACATGTATTGTCCAATCTGTTTACATCAAGCCTCCTTCCCTGTTGAAACAAACTGTGGACATCTTTTTTGTGGTAAGCAAACAATGCTATATTTGGTAAAAAGTGACTGTTTAGGCCAAGACCCATATGTGTACATGGACTGGATTCCTAATTTACTTTGTCACATTTTATATTTCACAAATGGGGTCGATTGCTCCTGATATCCTGTTCTACTTGTTAGCCACTTTTATTTAGTGTCTGTGAATTCAAAGATTAAGAGAAAAACAAAATATTCAACTTCTCAGTAAACAGGTATGTGTTTGTTTGAATGGAAATTCAAGAATATGAATACCATGAGGATTCACTGAAACCTTTATTGTTTATCACTTTTTGGTAGTCCTTCCCAAGCCAGGAAGGTTCTCTCAAGGACCCTGCCCAAGACCTTCCCTTAGCTCTCCTACCTCCTTTTTACCCTGCATCAGCACAAAAGTTATTAGCCTGGTGTGTGTGTGTGTGTGTGTGTGTGTGTGTGTGTGTGAGAGAGAGAGAGAGAGAGAGAGAGAGAGAGAGAGAGATACCGACCTCAAGAGGGTTGCTAAGTGAGAATGAGGAACCCAGAGCATATAGTAGGACAAGAAGGGAACACTGATTTCACAATTATTAATATCAGTAAGGGGTGCTTTCTACCTCTGGGCATTTCTTCCCTCCAGAAAGATTTCATAGAGAATGAGGTATCATATAGTCATTGCTCATTACGCTCCTATGAGATTGGGGAGAGTCAGTTATTATGTACCTGCTATGTGCTGGACATTTAACTTACTTCATCGCATCGAACTCCATTTATGAGGAAGCTAAAACTGAGTTAAGAAATTTTATAAAGGGTAACCCAGCTGCTAAAGGAAAGAGCCAGATTTTAAATGTAGGTCTACTTCAAACTCTGTGGGCAATCCTATTATGTAATTAGTAGCTTACATAACTACTCTCTACTTAACATTTATCCATTCACTAGACCTGTTGCCTTATTTGTAGTATTTCTTTTTTGTTCCAATGGCTATATTCAAGATAGGGTTTCAATTGTTCTCAAAATGTACCCATTTTCCATCTTAATACTAATTTAAAATATAGCATACAATGATCCTTTAAGTTTCTTTCTCCCCATTGTATCTTTTGTTTGAGATTATATAGAAATATTAGATATATAGTGCTATTATTTATGCTTTGGGGGAATGACATAAATACTTTGAAATCCATATCATGCAACGCAGGGGTTTCTATACTTTTTCTATACCTAACCAATCCCATTATTGCATTATCCATGAATTTCATTGTCTTCCCTAAAGTTTTTGCCTAAGTTAGCTAACAAGTTATAAAACACTTATTTCAGTGTCTGTCTTTGTCTGTTGGGAATGCTAATGAGCAAAAAATTATGAAAGTTCAGACAGAGGGAATTAAATGGCCACAGAACAAGCAGATACTTTCCCCCCTCTCAAACCTCTAGTAAATATTCCTAATCAATTGGACATTCTTTTTGAGTCTGGATATGGCCTCAATGACCATCCTAAAAACACAGTACTTCAGACAGGTGTTAAGAATTAGTGAGGCTTGGCAGGCTAGATGAACTCTATTTGCCAGCCCAGGCTTAGGTAATTCACTGAGTGGATAACCTAGTCAATTGAAAGATGGCTGTATTGTGTTCTTGGTTTCTGGGTCTGAGGTAATTGGGTAGATTGCTTCTGATATCCTGCTGTACTTGTTAGACACTTATTTACTGTCTCTAGTTTCAAAGATTAAAAAAACTAGTTATTCGGGGCGCCTGGGTGGCTTAGTCGGTTAAGCGTCCGACTTTCGCTTAGGTCATGATCTCGCGGTTCGTGGGTTCGAGCCCCGCGTCGGGCTCTGTGCTGACTGCCAGCTCAGAGCCTGGAGCGTGTTTCAGTCTGTGACTCCCTCTCTCTCTGACCCTCCCCTGCTCACGCTGTTTCTCTCTCCTAGAAATAAATAAAACATTAAAAAAAAAAAAAAAAAACTAGTTATTCTGCTTTTCAAACAGATATGTGTTTCTTTGAATAGGAGTTCAAGTATATTGATACCATATATATCCAGAGCACCTTAGCTTAGTTTCTATATATGGTTCCTGTTCTGTTCCTTTACAGCGAGTTAAAAATAACAGCAACAGACTTTATCTTACTTGCATTTGTAACCCACATTGTTTTATTTAATTCCCCAATAGTCTTATGAGGTGTTTTCCCCATTTTACAAATAAATAGGTTGAGAGAGATTGTGACCCAGGTTAATGTCATGATCTTTCCCACCATCTTATTTAGGTGGATCTTTTTATAGAGGGGGAACGTTGAAGAAAAGGGAAAACATTGATCATATCACAGCAGATGTGTGTGAACTGAAGTGTTTCATTTGCTGGGCCATAGTTTTTCTGTGCAGGCATTGGCCATTTCATAATTTGCAAAGCAAGGACACATGTACCCCAGTTTGTAGAAAAGAGATGTAGGATTAAATAAATTAACATATGTCAAAACACATTGAACTTTTGAGTGAAAAGGTAGTGGATAAAACTAAGGCATCATTACAGATGTGAAAAATAATACTGGCAAGATTTATAAGTTTTGCTTTCCTATAGTTTCTATATGAAATTAGATTGCACAAATTACTTAATAAATATTAGCTAACACAACACCCTGAAAGTAGGAAAAGATATCAGATAAAGATTGTTTAGCTTTTAAATTCATCTTTAAATCACTGAACAGTTTCCCCCCACAGTCACTGTAGTGTCCAATCTGGATAGCCTTTGCCTAGCCCCTTGGATGCTCACCAGTCTCCTTACATACCATTTATTTCTACTTCTGCCATTTGCTCTTTGCTATTCATAAAACTTGGAGCATCCTCCCTCCTGTTTTCTATTTCTAAATCTTACCTATCCTACAAAATTCAGTTCAAATCCTTTCTCATCTACAAATGACTCTCTGATACATCCCAGAGTTCTCCCTCCTATATACCTTTTGTACTTAAGGTTAATATTACATAGTTTGAGATTTAACTACCTTCTAATTGATTTCAGTATGTCACCTTGGACTTTTCAATTTGACTGTCATTGCTTATTCTAGACATTTATTTGATCTGGAAGAATAAGAATAAGGAATGCAGAAGGGCTAACCTAGATACAGATACGGGGGCACCTGGGTGGTTCAGTTGGTTAAGCGTCCAACTTCAACTCAGGTCATGATCTCATGGTTCATGAGTTCAAGCCCCATGTCAGGCTCTGTGCTGATAGTTTGGAGTTTAGAACCTGCTTTAGATTCTGTGTCTCCTCTCTACCCCTCCCCTGCTTGCACTCTGTCTCTCTCTCTCTCTCTCTCTCTCAAAAATCAATGAACATTAGTGGGGGGAAAAACACTCTTCTTTAAAAAAAAAGAAAGAATACAGAAAAGATCTTGGAGGTAGAAGGGAAACTAGAAGCACTTAGTTCAGATTCACAATGGGACCTGAATGGCCTGAGAAACAGGTGTCCTACAGAGAAGAAATGAATTGGGCCCTTAAACAATCAGACAGGGTTTTAAAATATTCCTTCTCCTCTTTCTTCTTCATAAATAAAACAAAATAAAATAAAAATAAAATAAAAAATATTCCTTCTTTATTTGGTCTGACTTTAGTGCTTATATGCTTAGCTTACCTGCTGATTTTGAGGTCTATCACCTCTTCCTTTAGACTGTGTTTAGTTGTTTTGTTGCTCATGAACAGCTTCAGGCAGAAAAATCAAATCCATCTAGTACAAAAGTTGATTGAATTATTGAACTGTATTATAAACTTTATTAGGTAAGATAGCATGTAATCTTTGTATCCTTTGGCTCCTTATTCATAGTACTTAATTATTATTATTGATACTACTGTAATTTGGTGTTCTAAATCCTTAAAAGATAGAAGCTGTGTTTTTGTAATGTATATACCAAATTTATTGGTTATCATATTTGCAGTGATGTTTATTTTATTTATTTTACATAGGAAATGCAGTATTTTCTATTAAGCCTCAAAGTATTGAAGCAGTTAATATATTCTTGCTTTTGATTGTATAAAAATGTTTATCTTAACTGGTAGTTTAAATAATAATATTTTTTAATGGCTGGGAATTATTACTAGATTTGAATTTGCCTGAACAGTTGCTTGAATGAAATAAAAATATTTTAAAATAAGATGATACTGTAAAAAATTTCAAATATTTGAAACTTTCTGAGGACTCATGGGCTTTAAAATTTAAAACATCAGTATTAATGTTTTTTTCTCATCAGGTACCTGCATTATTGCATACTGGCGATACGGTTCATGGCTTGGGGCAATCAGTTGTCCAATCTGTAGACAAACGGTAATGTTTGTATCCAGAAAGCATCATTTATGCTAGTTTATTATGTAAATGTTTATAATTTCTGCATCTAAATTTTAAATTATTTTTATTATTTTAAAGTTTTAATTTAAATTCCAGTTAGTTAACATATAGTGCAATAATTTCAGGTGTACAATATAGTGACTCAACTCTTGCGTCTATCACCCTGCGCTCATCCAGGATTAAGCACACTCCTTAATCCCCATCATGTATTTAACATATCCACCCCTCTCCCCTCTGGTAACCATCAGTTTGTTCTCTATAGTTAAGGGTCTGTTTCTTGGTTTGCCCCTCTCTTTTCTCCACTTTGCTTATGTTTTTTGTTTCTTAAATTCCACATGAGTGAAATCATAATGTTATTTGTCTTTCTCTGACTGACTTATTTCATGTAGATAATAGTCTCTAGCTCCAGCCACATCATTATAAACGGCAAAGATTTCATTTTTTATTATGGCTTAGTAATACTATACATATATACCATATCTTCTTTATCCATTCATCAGTCTATGGACATTTGGGCTATTTCCATAGTTTGGCTATTATAGATAATACATTGGGGTGCATGTAACCCTTTGAATGAGTATTTTTGTATTCTTTGGGTAAACACCTAGCAGTGCAGATGCTGCATCATAGGGTAGTTCTGTTTATTCAAAGCTTCTAAATGTTACCCTCTTACTTATTTTTATTTTTTTATGTTAGAGAGAAAGAACACATGAGTGGGGGAGAGGTGCAGAGGGAGAGAGAGAGAATTTCAAGTATGCTCCACACTCAGTGCAGAGCCCAGTGCAGGGCTCAATTCCACGACCCTGGGATCACAAGCTAATCCTAAACCAGGTTGGATGCTCAACTGACTGAGCCACTCAGGCATCCCTCCATTATTTTTTTTTAATGTCTTAAAGACACCAAAAAAAAAAATCCCTTTGAAATCCTTCAGTTGTAATAAAAAACAGGTGATAAGTAAATCATCCCTAAGATTCTAATAAGTCTTTATTATAATACTAGCAAAGTATTATACCCTAGCTGAGCTAGCTAATCAGGCTTAAACAGATATTCCCCTACATATACTTCTTTTGAAAAAAAATATTTCCTTTTTATTTTTAATCTGCTCTTCTCCATTGAGGGCCTAGATAATTTTCTATGATGGATAATAATTTTTTAAAATGTCTCTTTTGGAGACGTAACCACATTACATTATCCAAAACAGATCAGACAGTTACAGTTAGTATAGAAGCTACTTCAGGAGGGAAATAGTAACCTTTTATAAACATATATTTAAGACTGAAATGTCAGCACAGATGATAGGTGCCACATTTTCTCAGTTTCTTTGGCAAACTGGAAAAACAAAATACTGAAAAATTGGAGAAAATGAAGTTTTTAGTTTTTTAATTAGCAAGTATAGTAAAATAGAACATTCTATCAGTTGTTTACTATTTTTTCATAATTTACTATATACTTATTTTTCATTTAAAATAATATCAGTGGGGCACCAGGGTGGCTCAGTTGGTTATGTGTCTGACTTCGGCTCAGGTCATGATCTTATGGTTCATGAGTTCAAGCCCCACATTGAGCTCTGTGTTGACAGCTCAGAGCCTGAAGCCTCCTTCGGATTCTATGTCTCCTTCTCTCTCTGCCCCTACCCCACTTGTGCTCTGTCTCTCTCTCTCTTTCTCAAAAAAAAAAATAAACATTAAAAAATTTTTTTAATTAAATAAAAAATAAAATAATATCAGGACATCTGGGTGGCTCAGTCGGTTAAGTGTCTGACTTCAGCTCAGGTTCTGATCTCACGGTTCGTGGGTTTAAACCCCGCATAGGGCTCTGGGCTGACAGCTCAGATCCCTGAAGCCTGCTTGGGATTCTGTGTCTCCCTCTCTCTCTGTCCCTCCCCCACGCTCTGTCTTTCTTTCTCAAAATAAATACGCATTAAGAAAATTAAAAATATCTACCTTTCTAATAATGAGTTAGGAACACGAGAAAGATAGCAGCTCCATAGGAAGTCTTCCAGTGTGCAGAATGAAGTCCTATAAAGGATAGAGAGCTTCCAAGTTAAGATGCCAAATTGAACACATATATTTACTATTGTTTGTAACCCCACCAAAAGAACAGGACATTTTGTAAAGGCATAAACCCACAGAGATTAGAACATAAACAAAATGATAGAAGCAGCAACAATTTTTAAAGAACTCTTTGTAAAATATGACATAGAAAAAAGCACACAAAACAGAGAAGTACTGCTTACTGAATTACCACAGAGCAACACTTCAGTAACCACTCCACTCAGATGAAGAAGTAGAAACTGGCCAACAGTCCCCAGAAGCCTCTTTGGGACCTTTTCCAAATCTCATCCCCCTCCTACCTCTCCTAGAGGCAACTACTAGGAGAGTTGACTTTTATGATAAGCATTTCCTTGATTTTCTTTATAGGTTTATTACCTTAGCATGCACCTCTAAGATTATTGTTTAGTTTTGTCTAATTTTTGGACCTTATATGAATAAAACCATATAGCATGTATTGTTATATGAACATGCATGCACACACAGATGCTTCCAACCTTTGCTCTGGCATTCCACTTACCCCCATTACTGCCTCCATTTTTGGTGTAGAGAGAGAGGTTCAGGGCTTTATCTTCCTCCTTGTTTGTACATTCCCAAATTCTCCCTCTTTCATATTTGACTTTGTAGCACATGGCAGGAGGAAATTTTTTTTGTTTTTTTTGGTACTGCCTCTCTGGCTAATTTGATATGTGACACAAGGCAGTCAACATTGAAGTTTATTTGCCAATACCACCTCTCATAGTCTTTACTATCTGCCAGCAACACTGAGACCAGGCCATAGGTCTAGCATTGAAGAGTTATTTCCACCACCTGTCCCCTCTTCTTGACTCTATCGATGGCTTTTCATAGAATATATGTGTATTCGCAGGTGGTATCCTTTGGACCACCCATAAATTGCTAGAGGCTAAAAAGGTAGAGATAAAACTGTTTTTATATACTAGCTTTTGGTTCCTAACTGTAGAATAATTCGTCCTGGAAGCAAGACAGGTGGCAGATACCTGCTCCCCATTCTGTTTCACTGGAAATAGTGCACAGGCTGCTGCTTCTGACTGTAACACGCCCACCACTTCTCTTGCTGAATGTATACATAACATACCAGTAGTCCTAGCTGTACTTCAAGGACCAGCTTGTTTCCAGCTTTCTGGACACCCCAAGCAGAAGTCCTTTCTCTCAAGCATCATTATAACCCCCACCACAATGCCTTTTGAGCAGGTCTGCCTCCCCCTTCTATCTTGGGTGTTGTGGTTAATTAGCAAGGAGCAGGGCTGTGTCTTTTATTTTTTCGGTATATGTAGCCCTTAGCACAGTGCCTGGCCCACAGTAGGTACTCAATTATTATTTATTGAAAGATGCATTTTAATTAACAAATTTACGAAAAGAGGTTGTACCTGCTTTCCTACCACCTGCAGCTCTTTGTCACTCCTTTGTCTGAAAACATCTGATGTTTGGAAAACATCTGAGTAATGGGAAGTCCTGGTTTTATAGCTGAACTGAGGAAGGATAAAAACAGCTAGATGATTTAAACCTAAATCTGTTACTGCTCCTTCCCATTTTTATCTCATTGTACATTTACCATTTCCATAGGCATTGTTATATATTTTTTAATTTTTTATTTATTTCTGAGAGAGAGAGACAGCATGAGCAGGGGAGGGTCAGAGAGAGAGGGAGACACAGAATCCGAAGCAGGCTCCAGGCCCCGAGCTAGCTGTCAGCACAGAGCCCAACGTGGGGCCCTATCCCACGAACCATGAGATCATGACCTGAGCTGAAGCCAGATGCTTAATCAACTGAGCCACCCAGGCGCCCCGGCATTGTTATGTTTTTAAATGTACTGGTTTTTAAAGATACTGTGATCTTCAGGTTACCCCAGTTACGGTCCCGGGATATTTGTGTATCCTTACCTCTACCATGGAGGAAACAAGACTAAAAGTATTGTGTTGTATTACAGTATCACTCATTACCTTTTTTGATTATAGTAGGGATGGGTGCTTGAGAGTGGGTCCCTGCAATAACTTAATCTCTGTATTTTGTTTGGTAGCGTTCAAAGATATTTCAAATACCAGTGAGGTTGAATAATTATTTTAGTCAAAAAAAGAAATTCCAGGGGCACCTGACTGTGTCAGTCAGTTGAGTGTCCTACTCTTGATTTCTGCTCAGGTCATGATCTCACCATTCATGGGATCGAGCCCCATGTTGGGTTCCGTACTGACAGCACAGAGCCTGCTTGGGATTCTCTCTCTCCCCCTCTCTCTGCACCTCCACTGCATGCACACACACACTCTCTCTCAAAAAAAAAAAAAAATTCTCTGATTTTTCTCTCTGAGTGCTATATATTTTTATGTCACTTTGCTCCTGAATATTTTTTTCATCATGCTTATGTCTTCAAATATTTCTTAGTCCAAACGGAGACCTACTGATTTTATCCCTGGTATGAACTGGAAAATATTAGAACCAGTGTTTGGTTAAGGTACCCATTTGAATTTATAGGAATTCAAAATACATTTTGCATTTGATTTTATTATAAGGCAATAATAGCTCACTTCCTTCCCCATGTTGTCTTTATGAGTGAAATATAAATTTAGGAGCTTTTCTCATTCTGTTGAATTATAACATAAAATGAAAAATTAATGTTGCAGAAAAGTATAACAATGGTTTTTGTTGTTGTTGTTGTTGTTTGTAATATACAGGTAACTTTACTGCTAACAGTATTTGGTGAAAATGACCAGTCTCAGGATGTTGTATCATTGCGTCAAGATATTAATGATTATAACCGGAGATTCTCAGGGCAGCCCAGATCTGTAAGTAATGCTATAGCAGGTGCAAAGTTACAGTATAATGATACTTCTCTTTTGTAAGGTAAGATTTACCAACAAGTATTCTTTGACTAAAAAATATCTCATTATTTATGTGTGTTAGGTAAAGCTTTAACTAACTTCATCATTGTTGTCAATCACTGAGCTACAGCTTTCCCAAGAACTACAGTTTTCTATCTAAAAGAAAGAAGGATTATAGAAGTCCTTATGAAAGAAGGTTATAACTTGAGAACTTCTGGAAAGTTTTACAGTTGTGTTTTCCTCTTTTTTTACCTACCCTGGTCTCTTGTTTGAAATGTTTCCCTGAGTAACCCTGGGTGTTAGGCAGTTTTTTTGGTATATCATTTTAGCTACTCAAAAGCATTTGATTTTTAAAGAACACATTAATTTTACAGTTTGCCTCGTCCCTCCAAAAATGGCATTTGATAGATTATAAACTGTCACGTTTTATTGACTCATTCCAGTTTTTTCAAAATCTAACAAAGAATTCTAGAAATATGTGCATGACTATGTACTTCAAAAATCAGAATATTCTAAGTACAGATTTATTTGGAAAACCTAGACCTCTCCTCTGAGCTCTAGGCTGTGCCTCTCCACTTGGATGTTCCCTAGGTACCTCAAGCATGACCTGCACAGTATTGAACTGCTTGCCTCCTCAACTCACTATACTCTGTTTTCAGTCTTTACTGTTTTGATTTCTTCCTTTCCCTCATTCCCTTCATCTGATCTATAAAAAAAGTTGTATCATTTCTTTTTTCTTTTTGGGAGATCCTGTCATTTTTATTTTATAAAACTGTCCTGTATCTATAACCATCATACTAGCCCAATCCACCATCTCTTAGAATAACTGCAAGTGGCCTCTTCACTGTGACGTTTTTCTCTGCACAGCAGCCCAAGTAATATTTTGAAAACATAAGACCATGATATTCTTATACTTTAAAACTTCCAACGTTGTGGAATAATGTTCCAACTCCTTACTGTGCTTACACAGCCCTGTGTGACTTCCCCCTCCCCCAAAATGCTTCACCTCTACCAGTCACCTTTCAGCTCTCAAAATACACCGCAAGTCTTTCCACGTAATGCTTTCACACGTGACCCCTTGATTTGGGGTGCTTGTCCCTCTGTTCTTCTCATCCTTAAGGTCGCTCTTAAATAGACCTTCCTCAAAGAGGGTTTCCCTAATCAGCTAAGGTATTCTCTATTATTGCTCTCTATACATTTCCTTTGTAGCATTTATTACAAACAGTACTCAAATCTTGTTCGGTATCTTTTTCTCAGTAGACTAAAAGCTTCATGAGGGCAAGGGCCATGTTTATATATTCAGTGGTATATTCTCACTGCCAATCTCAGTGCCTGGAATACAAGAGGCCCTTAATATTTGTTGAATAAATGAATAAGCTATCCTTAAGAATTGATACTACTACTCTCAGTCAAGAATATAAGCTATTAAAGTGCTTCAGTATTAAACACTTGTGTGCTCTTGTGCACCCTTGCAGTATAAGTGTTCCTTATACTGTGGTGTTGTGTACATTTAAAGGCATATCCATGTGGATAAAGGGTAAATCTTCTGTTTAAACAAAAAGAAAACTTTTTTTTTTTTTTTAAATGTTTTATTTATTTCTAGGAGAGAGAGAGAGAGAGACAGCATGAGCAGGAGGAGGGTCAGAGAGAGAGGGAGTCACAGACTCTGAAACAGGCTCCAGGCTCTGAGCTGGCAGTCAGCACAGAGCCCGATGCGGGGCCCGAACCCACGAACCGCGAGATCATGACCCAAGCGAAAGTCGGACGCTTAACCGACTAAGCCACCCAGGCGCCCCAACAAAAAGAAAACTTAATCCAATCAGTGTTGTCCTCCACAGTTATCTGGGAGCCTCTTCTTCTATTTTTCATTCAGCATTTTTTTTTTTTTTTACATATTCTGCAGTGACATCTGTAGGATGATTCTTTGAAAATCCACATGTTCAAAATTCAAGAACTACCACTGACCTTAAAAAAATCATTTTGGGGCGCCTGAGTAGCTCAGTTGGTTAAGCGTCTGACTTCAGCTCAGGTCATGATCTCACGGTTCATGGGTTCGAGCCCCGCGTCGGGCCCTGTGCTGATAGCTAGCTCAGATCCTGGAGCCTGCTTCTAATTCTGTGTCTCCCTCTCTCTCTGACCCTCCCCTGCTCACGCTGTCTCTCTCTCTCAAAAAATAAATAAAACATTAAAAAAATTTTTTAATCATTTTAAGATATCCATTCATATTTATAAGTGTGAAGCATACCATTGCTCAATTATTATTTTTTGGTACATATATTTTATAAGCCCTCAGAGGTCATGAAATCATAGTGTAATAGAGACATTTAGCTCTTACTTTGATATTCTGAAGCCTCCAAAGTTGGAGTAAAATTGTGATTAATATACAAATATTTCTTAATAATCCATTTCATACTTCTTGTCTGTCTATAGATTTTATATAAATGATACCATATGAGAAGTGAACAAATAGCTCTGATAAAGGACAGAAATGTATTCAAAAGATATACTGTCTGGTTACTAGAATGTTTAAAATAACTTACCATAGACTTTGTGAAAATTGTGCTCCTGTCTTCCTTTAAATATTAGTTTCTCCCATAAAGAATAGGAAGTTAACATTTAGAAGTGATTTTTAAAAGACTATTTTGTTTTTTGTGACCAGTTTTCCAAAAAGGATTTAAGATTATCTGGTGGAGTTTATAAAACTGTTTCCTTAGATAATAGCTCTTCCCATTTTTGTCTCCCCATCCCTCTCATTTGGCACTTGTTAAACAAAATATATACCTACACTTGAATATATAGTAATTATACAGATTATTAAAAATAGCTGAACTGTTACAGTGGAATGACCACAGGAAGTGACTTTCCTCCTCTGGTCAGTTTCTCTGCATCACCCAGCTCCTGAGAAATGAGATAAAGAAAGAAGTTATATTGAGAAGTCATGGTAGTTCTTTACTACACAGGACCTTATAGATCACGTAGTCAATGAGCAAACTACACAAAACAAATGAGAAGTTTACAGTCAGAGGATAAACTAACTTGCTCAAAGCAATACAAATGGATAGTAGTACTTTTTTTTAACAGCTTTATTTAGATGTATTTTAGATGTCATAAAGTGCAACTTGTATACAATTCAATGGTCTTTCATGTATTTAGAATAAATCTAATTGGATTATCACCATAATCTAATTTTAGAACATTTTCATTATCCCAAGTGTAAGCCAACCTTTCCCTTTCTCCCCTTTCCTGTCCCCTCCTCCTAGACCTTGGCAACTGCTAATTTACTTTCTATCTCTGTAGATTTGACTCTTTTGAATATTTCATCATTTCATTGAAATGGCATCACATAGTGTATGGCCTTTTATCTTGTTTCACTTAGCTTAGTGTTTTCAGGGTTCATCCATGTTGTAATATATATATCAGATTCATTGCTTTTTATGGCCAAATAATATATCACATTTTGTTTATCCAGTCCGTTGATGGACATTTGTATTGTTTCTACTTTTTGGTTATTATGAATAATGTTTCCATTAACATTTGTCTACCAGTTTTTGTGTGGACATATGTTTTCATTCCTCTTGGGTATATACCTCATTGTGGAATTACTGGATATTATGATAAGTCTATGTTTAACATTTAGAGGAACTGCCAGACTGTTT